GCTAAATCTCCACCTGGGGGTGATGTCATCGCGAAGCAGCCGTACATCGGCGCTTGAATGGAAAAATTGGAAAAATATCGCGTCGAGAAAGCTGAGGGTGCGTAAAGTAGATGAAGGGGCAAGAGTGGTATACAGACCGTTTCCTCTTCTCCTAAATTTTCAGAGTATTAATCTCCCACCACGTCATACTTTTGAAAAATAAGCGTCACGTATACTCGGTTAATTTTTATACGATCAGTGTCGCGTCAACTGCTAGTACCAACGGTCCACTTCTCATAACCGAGAGACAAAATGTACTCTCCTGAAGGAAGTAGCAGCAACGGTTGCAAACGCATGAATTATTACGTTCCACGAGATGAAATTAAGCCGTGCAAGAAACCACGAGATGAAATTAAGCTGTACAAGAAACCACATGATTAGTAAGTATCACAAATGTTTCATATATATATATATATACATATATATATATATACAAATTGTATAAATTGTATAAAAATGCCGCACTGATATAGCTGTTACTTAAAAAAATGTAATAAATGACTATAAATTTGTTATTCTATTATTTGCAAGTTTAGCATATATATATATATACATATATTCAAAATTGTATAAAAATGCCGCACTGATATAGCTGTTACTTAAAAAAATGTAATAAATGACTATAAATTTGTTATTCTATTATTGTGTGTGGCTGCAAGTTTACATGAGTGTACTTGATTCAGATACCTTTTTTTATTGCCGATCATCACATGAGCAAGAGAGATCTCGTTTTTACGAACGGGAAAAAGAAATATACACATCGGTATGAATAATACTAGGCCGTGTTATAAAAGATTTGCATGGTTTTTTCGCTTTTTAATTTTCGGAGACCCATGCTGTTCATTATCAGATCCACCAATTTTTCATGTATTTAATAATAATTTATTTATTTAATTAATTAATTAATTAAATAAATTTTTTATTTGATTAATTAATCTCTATTGTATCGTGTAAGATTATTCGTCTTTAATGCAATATGTATATATACATATATACATATATATATATATATATATATGTTTCCATTTGCGTGAATGTCTAACAATTTGAACGCAAAAAGCTAATGATCTATTGGTTTTTTTTTTTTTTATTGGATACTTTTTCTTGATTTTCCACTGTTAAGCTTTATTCCGATTTAAATATAAGTAGCATATATAATTGGGATTAATGTAGGAGAGATTTTTTAATGCATAAACGCGTTTTTAAGTTACCGCCTTTCACATCCACCTCTGTCAATTGCAAAGACTTTATCTTTCTCACGTACACATTACACGAGTTGACGTTGTTTTTGTCACTTATCGAAAGCACTCAGTTTTATTTATTTATTTTTTTTTGTAATTGTGATTCTAAAATTATTTTAAAATTACAATCACACACATATACAATTAAATTATTATAAAGTTACTCTAAAATTACAATTTCTGGGACAAGTATGATATATATGAATCATTATTTTTCAAAAATGTACCCAATTCCTTTGCGAGATAATTAGCCGACGAAGAATATATCGGATTCAACACTTTATGCACGCTCTTGCCATGACTTCGAATTTTTCAAATTATTTAGATAACACTATTATCTCGCTAACGACATTTTTACTAACATACGTGTCCTTACGATTACAGTAAATATATTTAGCTATCAAAAGTAAAAATTTTGTATCGCACCGATAACTTTAGCGTTAGTAGAAAAGAAGGAAAATACATACATTGCATATTTACGTTACAGTAGAATGGTCGTAGAACTTCCTGAATGTTTAAAAAGAAAGAAAGAACAATACTCGAAGGAATGCTCATCTAAACGCTGACGTGTATATTCTAGACGGACATTTGTATTCATACTTGCACGGCGTTAATTAAGGCAACCAATCAAAAAAAAAAAAAAAAAAAAAAAAAAAAAAAATGAAAAGGAAAAGACAAGAAGAGATAAGGGGGAGAAACAAAGAAACTAGCGCATGTGCCCTATTTTTGTAGCCAAAACGTATTTTTGGATACGACGAAAAAATTTCCGCATTGCGTATTTCTCGAAGCGTAGTAAGATGTACATTTAATTGTTTGATACTGTGATGATAAGGATCGGCGGCGTACAGTGCCTACCAAAAAACTTCTATTCGTTTCTATTTCTCCGGGAAGGATCGAAAAGAGCGGGTCTGTCTGAGAAGAAGGGATATTTAGTATATGACATCTGAGAGCCGGCGAAGATTCGATAATCGTGAGTGTGGGCGAGCGAATCTGGAAGAGCATCTTTTTTGGATATCGTGAAGACGGGGATGAGATCGCGCGCGCATCGGAAACTTTGCATTAGGGGGTGAAAAGAAGTTTTAAATTCATACAATGTTTGGAAAAACAATGGGGAGTTAATTATGAAGAATTAATTTTGATAATCAATTCGCTGCTTATGTTTAATTTTTTTGCAAATCGATGGTCAGGATTCATTCAGATCTTTCGAGATAGACAATAGTCAACATTGATATTTATCGAGGAGATTCAATGTGATCGGAAGTTTCGTTTATTCGTCGCGATCTCGTTCAATCTTCAGGATCTCCATGTTCGAGGCGTTTAATTGTATCGTAGTATTTTCTATCGCATGTGTCCCCCAAACTACACGACAAAGCTAATACAATTTCCTCTTTTAGCAATACCATGTAGATTTATATATACAGCTGTGCGAAAAAACACAGCTACTTTGTGTGAGAATCGAGAAAAGAGCGAGATAATTATTATATCAGAATATACACATACAGACACACGTGTCCCTTACTTGTACAGTGGCGACAATTATACGCTTTAGGGACGAGAGATATATGACCAATGTAAAATAAAAGAAAAAAAAAGGATATCGGAGGAGAAAAAGAGAGGAATATATACACATGTAAATATATACATATATTTACACACATATACACGGAAGATGTGTAGTGCGAAAATTACGCGAGTAAATCGCTCGAAAACTTCGCCCTTCTTCTTCGCGAAAGAGTTCTTCGCGATATACATTCCTCTGTTACATCGCTGACGATGTATCCCTCGATCGTGTGTGTCTCCCCGAATGAATTTGACGATTACATTTTTCGCGATTACGTTAAGACGAAGCATATCCGATTGTATTGGGATGCAAGAGATATGACGGGAAAATATAGAATATGAAACGAGAAAGGATAGGATGAAACGAGAGCGAAGCAAAGTAAAAGAACATATATGCACACACACATACTTTTTTCAAGTGTGAGAAGTCATTCGTATATAGTGTAAGTAATTATGCGACTACTTTCTCTAATTAAAATAAGGCAGAAGAGTATAGTCATAGGTCATAGGATATAACAAGATGTTGCATGATAAAAATTTCACACGAGTTTTATCGAGAGAAGAATGAAAGAAAAAAATGCATGGATGTATGCGAGAGAGAAAGTGTGCGTGCGAGGACATGTGTATGTTCTACATTACGTGTACCTCTCGAATTGTAAATCGAACTCTGAAATGTGTATAGATTTTTAAGCACACTATCAAAAAAAAGAAAAAAAAACACACATGTACATAATTATATTACCTTGGACATGGTATAGCGGTTTACTGTTAATCGTAGTTGTATACCTTTCTTGATTTCCCATTGAATAAATCATCGATATAAATATATATATATATATATATTCTTGACATCTATGTGTTATCATTGCAGTAAAAATATTTTGTATATATTATATGTAGTCGCACGAGCATTTTTACCCGGTTACATCGATGCAAAGCTACCGTTATGTATATTTGTGTACATGTAGATTTGCGTGAAACTAATTATGTAACTTTATCATTGTTACTGTCATTTTATAATTATTATTCATTATTATCATTATTATTATCGTGAGATTCAAAACGCTTGATGTCTGTCATATACCGTCATTCTAAGAATTAAAATGTGGAAAGAAATGTAGAAAGGATACGGAGAAAATCTAACGAAAGCGCGAATGCTACTTGCGAATCAACCGACCTCTTTGGAAACTTACTGTACAGCAACACAATTGATTAAAAAATATATATAAATTGTATGTTATTAATATATTAACGTTAAGATTTATTAATATCACTTGTTACGATCCGATATCGTCGTGATATTCCAACACTAGTATTTTAGGAGAGATTCACCTATTCTCGCCACGAGTACAACTCGAAATCAGATTGTTCGCGTTTGAAGATTTTATTTTCCCTCGTGATTTACTCGACCTCGAACAATTGTTTTGTTCGTGATTAGGGAATGAAATCGCAGACGGCGTAGATCTCCTTCTCGAAGCCCATGCAAACCACAGAGGAGATGATGAGGATCGCCCCTGTCAAACTGGTCGATGTCGGTTTCTCGCCGAAGATATATACCTGGATTACATACGCCAGTATAATGTCCAGCGACCTGGTGACCGACACTTTACCCGCGCCCTCGATCTTCAATGCTTTCGTCACCAGGACCTGGCCGGTCAAACCGGTCAACGCCACCAACATAATCTGGCCCCAGGTGAACCAGTCGTGTGGCAGCCGGAACTTGTGCAGTTCATAGTTGGTCTCGTGACCGGACACTGTAAAGTAGAAGAAGACTGACGAGGCGAACGACCAGCACGACAGATTTAGCACCAGGATAGAGTAATGTATCTCCGAACACTTCCTCATGACGACGATGTTGAGCGCCGTGAAGATGGTCGCCAGGATGGCGCACAGGTATCCCATAAGATTATAGCTCTCAGCACGGTGCATCTGAAAAGGAGAATGTGACTTGATTGATGATTGCAAAGATTGATATAAACTTAAAATTCTTCGACTATAAAATTAATATCTTGTTTGAGATTTCAAGAAAACTAGATTTGAATCCTTCGGAAAATCGGAAAATCTCTTGGTGCAACTGAGAGATTTTTTATCATTGGATCTGGATGGGATCATTTTATCTTCGTTTTCGATTACCTGGAATAAGAAGGGCGGTCTGGCGACGAGGACGACGCCTGCAAAGAGCGTGCAGACCACCAGTATGCGCAGAACACCGCAAGGCTCCTTCAAGAAGAGGAAGGAGAGCGCGATGACGATCACCGGTGAGCTAAATATGATTGTTGTGGCATCTCCTAAAGGTAATTCTCGGAAGCTGTAGTACAGCAATGACAGAGTCATGCCGCCTACTAGACCCTGGAAGGACAGAATCAAGTGATATAAATGGAGCGAAACAATCGTGAAATAAAGCAAAGCTTACGTTTTCTATTTTCTAAAGCTGAAAATATTTTATTTAAAAAAAAAAAAAAATTTATTAATGTGATTCGGGATAATAACAGCTTATTATTATTGCTAAATTATCATCTCCAATTTTTCGCTATTGCATTATTAAAATGTTAAATGTAACATTATAACAGAAGTACTTTCTCGCGAAATGCGAGTTGAACTTTGCATACAGACGTAGATGTTATGAATAAATAATGTCAATGCCAATCTTTTCCGGCTTAATGCAATAATACGATACGCGTCGTAAAATGCCGGCGCCTGCGGATAAGCAAGTAATTATTTCGTATATGTAATCAGTTGAAAGACAGAGAGAAGCGAGCGACTAGTCCCGTGTGTGTTAGAGTGATAGGTATTTCTTTCATAAAACTAGAATGATTGATACATCATTATTCCATTACTGCTCCATTAATTATCATAATTGTCATCAAGGCAGATCGTATTCAAGATTCAGTTTCTTTTTTGTATAAAGATAAAAAAATATTTGAATGTGTTAGAATTTAAAAAAATAATCGATTCCTAATTGTATTAGAAAATTTGAAAAAAAAAATAGTAATTTATGGTTTCGGAAACCATTTATACCTATTAAGAATTATTTATATA